CTTCCCAGCCCTCTTTGAAACTCTTATATCCAACAAGCCACCAAAAAGCTGGAAGTGGAGCTGTGGCTCAAGTGGTAGAGTGCCAGTCTTTTTTTTTTTTTTGTCAGTCATGGGGCTTAAACTCTGGGCCTGAGCGCTGTCCCTCAGCTCTTCAGCTCAAGGCTAGCGCTTTACCACTTGAGCTACTGCGCCACTTCCGGTTTTCTGGTAGTTTATTGGAGATAAAAGTTTCAGGGACTTTCTTTGCCCGGTGTGGCTTTGAACCGCAATCCTCATATCTCAGCCTCTTGAGTAGCTAAGATTAGACCGGCACCCCAGCTAGAGCTCCAATATTGAGTGGAAAAGCTAGGCAAAAGAGCCAGGCCCCTGAGTTCAAGCCCCTGTACTGGCATGCATGCGTGCGTGCACAAGCATGTGTTCGTGCGTGTGCGTGCGCGCGCATGCACACGCACGCACACACACACACGGAGGAAGGGAAAGGAAAAGAATAGAAAAGTGTTTACCAAATGCTGATTTCTAGATACGCTCTTAGGCAGTCAGAATGTAAACATGAATAGTCACAGTTTGATCCTCTGGTCTTACCTACTGAAGGGAGCCGTATACATACATAAAGGTTTACAAATTGTGAAATAGAAAATTGAACAAGGTATAGTAGAGGCAAAACAGAAGTGGCCATTTTTTTGTGTCAAAGTTAATAAACAATATAGTTTAGTAAGCAAAAGATGAAACAACATGAAATGAACAACATAGTTTCCCAGGAAATTGACTTTTCAAAAACGGCTCATTAGGGGCTGGGAATGTGGCTTAGTGGTAGAGTGCTTCCTTAGCATACTACAAGCCCTGGGTTTGATTCCACAGTACTTCAGAAACAGACCACAGTGCCTGGGCACTGTCCTTTAGCTCCTTTTGCTTAAGGCTAGCACTTTACCACTTAGGCCACAGTGCCACTTCTGGCTCTTTCTGTGTATGTGGTACTGAGGAATTGGAACTCTACCATTCCAGGTGCATCCCATTTAAAAACCTGTGGGGCTGGGAATGTGGCTCAGTGGTAGCCTAGCATGCATTAAGCTCTGGATTCAATTCCTCAGAAAAGCTGGAAGTGGTGCTGTGGCTCAAGTGGTAAAGTGCTCACTTTGAGCAAAAGAAGCTCAGGAACAGTACTCAGAACTTGAGTTCACAAGCCCCAGGACTGGGGAAAAAAAAGTTCAGAATCTCAACCTCAGTTTTCCTCTCTCAAGGTGTCGGATGAGGGTGAAATTCTGCCACCTAAACTTCAAGCTGCCTTGCTGCAGGTTTTGGAAGAACGAAATGAAATCTTGGTTCAGGAGCGGCATCTTTCACAAGGTACGAGCCTGGTTCTCACTTGTGCCCTTGAAATTGCAGCTACAGTAAAATTGTAGCTGTGCAGGCCGGGTGGCGAGAGGAAGAAACAAGGTCAGCACATTTGCCATTTGTTTTCTGCTGGCCCTAAACCATGCGGAGGTGATGGCTGTGCTTCCTACCTTTCCTCTTAGCCCTCTAGCCTGTGATGGTTTTCATACACAGAACTTAAATGTTCCTCCTCCCCTCCCTTTCCTGTGACCCTCTCCTTGTGAAGCAGATGTGACCCTCAGTTCTCTGGTGTCGGAAGCCTTTGTCAGGTTTTTTGTGGAGCTTGTGGGACACTACTCTTTGAGCATGACAGTCACTGAGCGTGGGGAGCGCGTGTTCCTGAGGGAGCCCTTTCGCAAGTCCCACACCTCCCGGAGTGCCCGCCACTTCCTCGACCTTTTCATGGAGACTCAGATGTTTGCGGGTTTCATCCAGGACCGAGAACTGCGGAAAAGTGGTGTCAAAGGTCAGTTTCCATCAGCAAGTACTCTTTTTCTTATGCCTTCTTGGGAGGTTTGAAGATAAACAGCATACAAAAATAAAAACATGCCAGGCACCAGTGGCTCATGCCTGTCATCCTAGCTACTCAGGAGGCTGAGATCTGAGGATCACGGTTCAAAGCCAGTCCGGGCAGGAAAGTCAGTGAGACTCTTATCTCCAATGAACCACCAGAAAACCAGAAGTGGTGCTGATTCAAGAGGTAGAGTGATAGCCTTGAGCTGAAGAGCGCAGGGACAGTGCCCAAGCCCAGAGTTCAAGCCCTATGACTAACAAAAAATAAATAAATAAAACAAAACCATGTAAAGCTACCATGTAAAGTTAAATTTGTTTTTTTGTTCTTTTTTGTCAGTTGTGGGGGCTGAACTCTGGGACTGGGTGTTGCCCCTTGTCCCTTAGTTCTTCAGCTCAAGGTGAGCGCTCTACCATTTGAACCACAGCACCACTTCCAGGTTTTTCTGTTTATGTGGTGCTGAGGAATTGAACCCAAGGTTTCATGCATGCAAGGCAAGCACTCTACCACTGATGCAACTTCCCAGCCCTTGATATTGTTTTAGCCATAGAAATAATACACTGGGGCTGGGAAGATGGCTCAGTGGTAGAGTGCTTGCCTTGCATGCATGAAACCTTGGGCTCAATTCCTCAGCACCACATAAACAGAAATACCTGGAAGTGGTGCTGTGGCTCAAGTGGTAGAACGTTAGCCTTGAGAAAAAAGCTCAGGGACAGTGTATAGGCCCAGAGTTCAAACCCCAGGACTGGCAAAAAAAAGGGGGGGGGTCGGTTAGCCGGGAAGGTGGCTCAGTGGTAGAGTGTTTGCTTTGCATGCATGAGGTCCTGGTTCAGTTCCTCAGCACCACATACACAGAAAAAGCTAGAAGTGGTGCTGTGGCTCAAGAGAGTGCCAGCCTTGAGCTGAAGAGCTGAGGGACAGCGCCCAGGCCCAGAGTTCAGGCCCCACAACTAACCAAAAAAAAAGGCGGGGGGTGGGGAAGAGAATGAAATAATACACTGGGCTGGGTGTCAGTGGCTCATGCCTATAATCCTGCTCAAGAGATCTGAAGGTCTAAGTTCAAAGCCAGCCCAGGCAGGAAAAAAAATCTGTGAGATTCTTATCTCCAATTAACCAGAAGAAAGCCAGAAGTGGCACTGTGGCTCAAGTTGTAGAGCTCTAGCCTTGAGCAAAAATGCTAAAGGACAATGTCCAGTCCTTGAGTGTTCAAACCCTAGGATCAGCACCCAAAAGAAAAAACAAAACTTTAGGCTGGGGATGTAGCTCAGTGGTGGAGTACTTGCCTAATATGTGCAAGGCTCTAGGTTCACGGAAAAAGAAGAAAATAACACCTAGATGTTATTTAATTAATTTCCAGTCACATGGTTGAATGTTGGACAGTTTAACCAATGTAAGTTTTCTTCACAGGCTTATTTGAGGTCCGGGCTCTGCAGTATTTGCAAACAATTCCTGAGTCTGAACCCAGTGGAGTGAACAGAATTTTGCGGAGTCTTGGTAAGTTGCTGTTTTCTTGTTATATAAACTGGGCTATGCCTGGTGCCAGTGGCTCATGGCTATAATCCTAGCTACTCAGATCTGAGGATCATGGTTTGAAGCCAGCTCAGGCAGGAAAGTTCATGAGACTCTTATCTCCAATAAACTACTCAGAAAAAGCTGGAAACAATGCTGTGGCTCAAGTAGTAGAGTGCTAGCCTTGAGAACAATGAGGCTCAGGGATAGTGCCCAGGTCCTAAGTCCAAGCCCCAGGACCAGCAAAAAAATAAAATAGCCAGGTGCAGGTGGCTCACATCTGTAATCCTAGCTACTCAGGTGGCTTGAGATCTGAGGATTGTGGTTCAAAGCCAGCCCTGACAGGAAAGTCCATGAGATGCTTATCTCCAATTAACCACCAGAAAACCTGAAGTGCACTGTGGCTTAAGTGGGAGAGCGCTCGCCTTGAACTGAAGAGCTGAGAGACAGTGCCCAGGCCCAGAGTTCAAGCCCCATGACAGACCAAAAAAAAAAAAAAAGCTGAAAACAAGCTTGCAGGCCTTTCCAGCCAGCTCAGCGGTATAATGGTGGGTGGACCATGTAACCACAATGGCCAGAACTGCAACCCCAGATCCCGAGTGATTTGGAGAAAATCTCTTTTCTGAGAGGTCAGGTTCCCCATCAGAATGCCCTGTGAACTGCTTCCATCAGGAGCTCCCTTTAATCCCTTCATAGTTTATCTTCTCATATCATGATGAAACCCTAATCAAAACTGTGATTCTTTTTCCATACAAATAAACTTTGCATACAATTTCAGGGTTTTATGGAACCCCCATCCCTGGAATCCTATCTGTGGACCCAAACTTAAAACATATGGGTTCACCGGGCACTGGTGGCTTACATCTGTGATCCTAGCTACTCAGAAAGCTGAGATCTGAGGATCATGGTTCAAAGCCAGCCCCGGCAGAAGATTCTATGAGACTTTTATCTCTAACTACCAAAAAGCTGGAAGAGGAGGTGTGGCTCAAGTGGGAGAATGCTAGCCTTGAGCAAAAAACTCAGAGATAGTGCCCAGACCCTGAGTTCAAGCCCCAGGATGGGGAGAAAAACAAAAAAAACAAGTGGATTAGAGAGACTGAAGACAAAGAAGATATTCTTGGAAGACTCTTTTAATTTTATACTTCATAGAGAAACACAGTTTTTTTTAATGATGTTTTCATTTGTAGTTAATTGTCCAGTATGATTCTGAAAAGCAGAGTATGGCTTCCATACTAGTTATGGGCTTCTACTCTGCGTGTACATGCTGGTCTTTAACATGTCTCTAATTGGGTCCTCTCCTTAATTAGCTGAGACCATGGGGAAATTATAGCTTGGGTTATTATTTCATCTTCATGTCATGGGATTAGGTTAAATTTTTGGTTTTCAGCTCTGACTACAGAAACTAATGTCTGGGGAGCTTAAAAATATTTCCCCTGAACTCCAGGAAACCTCTGGGGAGTAAGCCCAGTCTGGTTTTTTTTTATTAGAATATATCACTTGGACAAAGCACTGGTATTATATTCTCATGGATATATAATGTAGTTTGATTGTGTTTGTCCCCCAGACCGCATCTCTTGAAGTTCCATTTCCCAACAGTACCCCAGACACAGACCAAGGCATTACCACCAGGATCTTTGGTTTAGATGGCCGCTCTCACTTGAGATGGTGCCTTACTCTTAGGCTGTTCTGACTAGATTGTTCATCTTGTGCCTTAAATCATTACAAGAAATGAAAAAAAAAATTATTCTTTTCTTTCAGGTAGTAAAATGAAATTTCTGCAGAAGAAATGAAGTATTTGCCTCTATCCTAAATAGAGCTGAAAGTCCCAAGGACATTATTTTTCCTAGAGTCAGGATGTTTTGGAGTTTGCTACAAAATCCTGCAATGTTAAGAAGCCAAGAAGCAGGTCAGGCTCCATGACTCCCCTGTTGCTGCCGGAGACTTGTTGGAAGTAGTGTGGAACCGATGCTTCCTTCCTCTGCCTCCAATTTCCCTTCACAATGGCCTTTTCTCTTTGATTCTTGGGCCCATCTGTGTATTTTATGCTTATGTCTATGAGGACAGTTGTCTTCTAGGAAGGAAAGACGTGGTGCTGCATTTACAGAACCATTCAAAGATGACTGATGAGAGAATGGATGCATTTTAGGTACTAGAACTGGGAGGGTCGGCCTTACACACATAGCCCTCATCACTGAATCATGGCAGCTATAAACTCATGGGCCATTGGAACTCACAGACTTTTGTCTGATGTCCTGTCTAGGGAGCTCTCACTTAAGTGGAAGCCTTACTTCTTGGCACTGTTAGCCAATGCTTTATAAAAGTAGACATCTTGGAAGTGGTATGTGGCTCACGTGATAGAGCACCAGTCTTGAGTGAAAAAAGCTAAGTAAGAGTACAAAGTCATGATTTCAAGTCGCAGTACTGGCACACACTCAACATAAACGTAGACATCTTGTGACTCTTCCTCCACAATGTGTATGGTACTTGAGTAATTGGTCCTTCATAGGTCATTAAACTGTACTTGACAGAATTACAGTTAACATGAAAATGTCCTTTTGGAGACATGTATATTTGTGTGTGTGTGTGTGTGTTGCTACCATCAAGTATTTGTGTCTATATTTCAAGCCTTACATCAACTTGTGCCTCCACTTTACCAACAGAAGGAACTGGAATTTAGAGGCTAATTTGGCCAGTTATACAATTCATATAGAACTGAAGCCAGGACTCTTAGCTTATGAACATCAAGTTGTTTAGTCTTTTGGATGAGAATTTGAGCTCTGTTGGATTACAGCTAATTAAAAGTTTTCCATTAAGTATAATGCAACCACCTTGAGGCTGTGAGGATAAGTGGTGTGGTGCCTACCTGAGGCCTTTTTTTCTTTCTGTGCTGGAGATAGAATGCTGGGCCTCTTACACATCTCCATCTAGTGAAAACTGTTGGAACTTGTGCTGTACATTTGACTCTGAATATGTGTGCTAAACATATGCCACTTCCTCTCCCAGCTCTCTAATACCTAAAGTGGTAGCACTGATTGGTAAAGAGAAATTGGTCATAGATAGGGTAGTTTCCTTCAATAAACGTAGCAAATGTCAGTTGTGATCTTCAGCTTTGGCTTCTGGTTTTAACTGACAAATGTTCAAACGTACAAAACCTTGTAAACTGTACTATAATACAACAAATTGACAGGTATGGTATGGAATCTGAAGCAGAAACCATTCAAGACTGGTGCTGTCTAGCCTAGTTCCTAGGAAACTGAACTGAGCCTGTGTGTTTTAAAATGTTAAGCAGTTTAATACCCCTGGGGAACAAGGAGTAATTACGTGCTGGTTAATGGGGCCCGGCTCCCTTTGCGCGGGGACTTCTTTGGTGGGGCCGAGTTAGGCCTCTCCTCAGGCCCGCTCTGCTCGGCTTTGGTAAGGCGTTGTGAGTTCCGGTTGTTTGCTTACGGACCTCCTAGTGAATGAAACCGGAAGTGCTAGCCGCGTCCGGGAGCGTGGGGCTCGGTGCTTCTGGGCGTGCATATCTTCTACCTAGTTCCATCTCTCGACGCCACGTGCTCCCGGTGATGAGGACCTGCTCGGCCGAGGCCGCCGTAGGCTCCCCGGCGGTGCCGTCCTCCCGTCTGCGCTGACTTCTTGTTACGGTGGCCACGCGGCCGCATGCGCGGAGGCCGTGGACACGGTCACGGGAGAGGCTGGCCCGCATGTTCCCTCAAGGCCACCGGGCGGCCTTCAGCCGCGGGAAAACCCAACACCCTGAGCTGCCCACGCTGAAGAACGCGCGGCAGCACCTGGGGGCCGTGCGGGCCGCAGGGAGGGGCCGAGGGGTCGCCGGTGGTGCGCACGCGTGGGACGCCCCGGCACAACCCTCGGCTCCCAGAAGGTAAGTGAGGCAACCTCGGTGGGCGGCGGGGCGCCCCGACACACCGACGGCTTCAAGCGCGTGTGCAGCCGGGAATCCCAGACGCAGCCGCGTGGCGGGAGCGGGAGCCACTCCGTCTCCCGGCCACGCCCGTAGCCGGCTTTCCGTCCGGAGCCCACTGGGAGAAAGAAAGGACGAACCTATCCGCTGCGCCGCCCTGCGAGGCCTGGGGCCGGAAGTGGCGAGGCCGGGCGTGCCCCTGGGTGTGACCTCACATCCGCCCCAAACAAACGTGCCCGACATTCCTGAGCCGCTGAACCGGCGTGCCCGCGGAACTAGCGAGTGCGCCTGTGCCTGGCGGTCACGTGGGCGACGTGTCAGTGCTCGGCGCCGGAATAGCGGGGCGTGGCTCTGGGGAAGACCGCGCTCCCACCGCTCAGTGATGGCGGGCACGGGGCTGGTGGCCGGGGAGGTGGTGGTGGATGCGCTGCCGTACTTCGACCAAGGCTACGAAGCGCCCGGCGTGCGGGAAGCGGTGAGTGCGGGCGGCCGGCGGCGCTCTCGTGCCGCAGGGGCTTCGCGCGCCGTCTCCCCGGCCCAGCCCGGCTCCGGTCTCGGCCCTCGCGCGCGGCCTCCCCGGCCCCGTCCCGTAGCTCACGCGCGCGACCTCCCCGGCCCGCCCCGCCGCTCACGCGCGCCTGTTTTCGTCCGTAGGCCGCGGCACTGGTGGAGGAGGAGACGCGCAGGTACCGGCCCACCAAGAACTACCTGAGCTACCTCGCTGCCCCAGACTACTCCGCCTTTGAGGTGAGGGACTGCGGGAGTCTGACTCAGATGGGGAAGTGACTGCGGTCTGGTGGAGCCTGGGGACGGGAGTCCGAAACCCCCGTATCCCTGATGGTCAAGAATCAGCTGGAGGACCACAGCCTTCTCCCGGCGCTTGGTGTCTGAGACCCGGAGGAACTCTAGGGATCCCAAACACCTAGACGTGTTGTATTATACATGGGGGGTGGGTTGGGGTGGTATCAGAATCTTGTAAATTCTCTAAGGAGACTTCTAGGACCACAAAATCTGTCTCTTCAGAACCACCGGAGGCCAGGCCACCTCTGCGTTGGAGCTCAGGTCGTTTCCCAATATTGGAAAAAGAATACCTGGATAGAAAATTTCTAAGGACAGGCCATTTTAAATATATGGGATCACGGTTCAAAGCCAGCCCAGGCAGCAAAGTCCAGGAGACTCTTACCTCCAATAAACCACCAGAAAACCGAAAGTGGCGCTGTAGTTCAAGTGGTAGAGCGTTTGTCTTGAGCTGAAGAGCTGAGGGACAGCGCCCAGACCTGGATATGGAGGGATTCTATAGCTAAAATGACAGACATGTACCCCCATGCCCATCTTTTTTTCTGTTGAGATGAAGTTTAATGAAGAAAGTGTCCCAATTGTTGAAGAAGATAGACAGACTGTTTGTGGATGGCAGGAGGAGGGTAGATCCTCTTTCTTCAGTGGTTTTGGATTTCATCAGAGTTGATCTGGCCAAAGACCCACACATTTGAGGAGAAATAGCTCATAACTCAAATTTTTGGAACTTGCATACAAGTATCAAGATATATTAGGGAGTATGATAGGAGGAATGAGATTGTTTGGACCAGCTTGATTGTGGGTTGGGGGTTAACTAAAACTCCCTGTATAACAAATTTTTTCTAAATGAAATTGCACATGTGTGTCCATATATACATATATATTTATATACACACATGGATTAGGGGTGTAGTTTAGTAGTAGAGCATGTTCTTAGCCATGTACAAGGCCCTACATTCAAGTCCTACCATTCTAAAATATAAAGGAAGGAAGGCACTGGGGGAACGGAAATGATCCATTATAGTGTGTATTATAAAGAATACATAAGTAAATTGACTTGTTTGGTAATTATTAATTTTAGTTTGTCAATATCATCTTGGCAGTAATTTTCTCTGTTATCAGACCGACATAATGAGAAATGAATTTGAAAGACTGTCCGCACGGCAACCGATTGAATTGCTCAGTATGAAACGGTAAGAGAACTAAAATCTAAGTTATCACATTTCTAACTTGGTAAGCTGAGATTGGTAAAGGTTCTACTTGCTGGCTATGTGGCTGTGTGGAGACACACAGCAGAGTGGGGTCTGAGTGCAAGTGGACATTTTGTTCCCTCCCACCTTTTTTGTTGTTGTTGTTGTTGTTGTTTTGGGGGGGGTCCGGTCGTGGGGCCTGAACTCTGGGCCTGGGTGCTGTCCCTCAGCTCTTCAGCTCAAGGCTAGCACTCTACACTTGAGCCACAGTGCCACTTCCGGCTTTTTCCCCCCCTGCTTATGTGGTGCTGAGGAATTGAACCCAGAGCCTCATGCATGCAAGGCAAGCACTCTGCCACTGAGCCACCTTCCCAGCCCCCCTCCCACTTTTTGTATTGTACCTTTTCTGTGTGTGTGTTGATCAGGATCCAATCCAGGGCTCTTCCACTAAGCCACATCTTGGGCCTTATATCCCTATATAGTGCTTTATTTTGGGGGTGGGGGTGTCTGGTCGTGTGGCCTGAACTCTAGGCCTGGGCACTGTCCCTCAGCTCTTCAGCTCAAGGCTAGCGCTCTATCTACCACTTGAGCCACAGTGCCACTTCTGGCTTTTTTCTTTTTGCTTATATGGTGCTAAGGAATCGAACCCAGGGACTCATGCATGCAAGGCTCTACCACTGAGCCACCTTCCCAGCTCCCTGTATAGTGCTTTTTACTTTGATCAATAACTTTGTATTGGGATTTGAAGTATTGGGATTTGAACTCAAGTTGCTTCACTTGTTAGGTGGGCGCTGTCTTGAGTCATACTTCCAGCCCATTCTGCACTGGTTGTCTTGAGATGATGTCTCGGTACTAGGCCCGCACCTGGACCACAGTCCTCTTCTTTCTCTCCTGCAGTAGCTGAGGTGACAGGTGTGCCTCGCCATGCTCTTCCATTGAGATGGAGCTGAACAGACTTCCCTTTTCTGCAAGGCCAGCTGGGAACAAAAGTCTCCCTATCGCAGCCTTCCATATAGTGACAATAAGTACACACCACTGTGCCCAGCTCTCTCTCAAACTTTTTGCCTAGGACAACCTGGACTTTTGATCATCATGATCTCAGTCCCCTTAGAAGAAAGAATTACAGGCCTGACCTCTGGCACTGGATTTCTATAACTTTTTTTATTTTTGGTCAGTCGTGGGGCTTGAACTCTGGGCCTGGGCGCTGTCCCTCAGCTCTTCAGCTCAAGGCGAGCGCTCTACCACTTGAGCCATAGTGCCACTTCCGCCTTTTTTTTTCTTTTTGCTTATGTGGTGCTGAGGAATCGAACCCAGGGCCTCATGCTTGCAAGGCAAGAGCTTTACCACTGAGCCACCTTCCCAGCCCAAGAGGTTTCTTTTTATTGAAAGGTCTAGATCTCCTTTGCTGAGAGGAGGATATGTATTCTTAGTGTGTTTTGTTATCTGATGGCAGATATGAGCTTCCAGCCCCTTCCTCGGGTCAGAAGAATGATGTCACCGCATGGCAGGAGTGTGTCAGCAATTCCATGGCCCAGTTAGAACACCAGGCCGTCCGCATCGAGAATCTAGAGCTCATGTCGCAGCATGGCTGTAATGCCTGGAAAGTATACAATGAGTAAGAAGCCTGTTTTGGCTCCATTTGCATCTGTTCCACCTTATGCGTCCAGCTTTTGTTTTTTGGTTGTGGGGCTTGAACTCTGGGCCTGAGCCCTGTCCCTCAGCTCTTTAGCTCAAGGCAATTGCTCTACCACTTGAGCCATAGCACCACTACTGGTTTTCTGGTAGTTAATTGGAGATGGGAGTCTCATGGACTTCCCTGCCTGGTCTGGCTTTGAACTGCGATCCTCAAGGTCTTAGTCTCCTGAGTGGCTAGGATTATAGGCATGAGCCACTGGTGCCTGGCTCAGCTTTTGTTATCAGTCATGCTGCTCTTTTAGTCAGTGGAACTTCAGACATTGATACTTGTGTGTTTAACAAATGTGGGAGAAAGATAACAATTAGAACAGAAAAGTAAGGTGAGGGGTTTGACTCAGGATCCTGTCCTGGAACTATACCCTGATAGGCTACTGCTTTGAACCCCACTTACAGTTGAAGAGTGCCGAGGGGCCTAACGTAGCTCCTAATTAGTGTGTACTAAACAAAGCTCGGAAGGAAAAACTGCAGAGCCCCTCCTTGCTCGGCCTCAGCTGGAAGTGGGAACTCACAGGTTCATGAACAACTACAAGTAGGAATGGGGTTACAGCTGACTCATAGGTCTGAGGATCAAGGAATAGCAGCGAAGTAACACCTGAAGGGATTTTGCTGAGCTGAGCATGGTGGCTCACAACTTGTAATCCCAGAACTCAGAAAGTTGACATAACAGTTAAGTTACGGCCAGCTAGGTGCTAGGTACGGATGGCTCACACCTGTAATCCTAGCTACTCAGGAGAGTGAGATATGAGGATCACAGTCTGAAGCCAGGCAGGCAGGAAAGACTTATGAAACTCTTAGCTCCAACAAAACTATCAAAAAAGCCAGAAGTAGACTTTTGGGTCAAGTGGTAAAACACCAGCCTTGAGCAGAAAAGAAGCTCCAAGGACAGTACACAGGCCCTGAGTTCAAGCCCAGTGACTGGCACACATTAAAAAAATTTTTTTTTAATGGATTTTGCTAGTTTGTGAAATTCAGCGGTTTTATTAGCTCTGGGGCTCCTTTGATCCTTACAATATGCTGAATATGTTAATCATATAGGGGAAAAGACCATTGAACCTCATGATTGTAAAAGCTTCTTGTTAAACTATTCTTAAAAATGACTATAAAATGACACAATGGAATGATGGGTATCATTCTCAGATCATCAGAATTTTGTTTTAAATTTTTATGACATGTACAAACAACTCATGATGTGAGTGTATTATAAGCAGAAAAAAAAGAATAAATGGGATCTGAGTGATTAGGAAATCTTAACAGAGGAGCTGAGAAATCTGTTTCAAACGCGAAAAAAGATGATTCTTGTCTTCTAGAACCATTAGCTAGCTGTGGAGACAACTATGCAGGAAACAGTTTCTGGCAGTATGGGTACAATTTTGCTTTGTTGGCTGATTTTATAAACGACAGCAATTCAGAGAAGGGACATGCCCTGAGCCAGTGGCTCACATGTCCTACTAGCTACCAGGAGGCTGAGATCTGAGGATCGTGGTTCAAAGCCATCCTAGGTAGGAAAACGTGTGTGTGTGCGCGTGCACGAGCACTAGTCTTGGGACTTATACTTGGCCTGGGCACTGTCCTTGAGCTTTTTTTGCCACTTGAACCACACCTTTACTTTCGGCTTCTTTGGATTATTAGTTGGGAGATCAAAGTCTCACAGGCTTCACTGCCCAGGCTGGCTTTTGAGCCGAGAGCCTCAGATCTCAGCCTCCTGAGTAGCTAGGATCCCAGGCATGAGCCACGGGTGCCCATCAATATTGCTTTTAAATTTCTGTTTATCCTGTCTGACTTTGCTCTTCTTCCTCCGTAGAAACTTGGTTCATATGATTGAGCATGCACAGAAAGAGCTTCAGAAGTTAAGGTAAATTATTTTTCTGTTGTTTTTAATAAATTTAGAGTGGGGGAAAAGAACCACTGAGACTGTGGTCACATGTGAAAGGGGGCCTTGTACACCTTCACCTTTGATGCTTTCAATAGTTACTGCTCTGTGAGAAGTGAGCTGGGGAAGCTCCAAATAATGTTTTTGACTACAAAAAGGAGCAGACTATGGGCAGTGTGGTACACGCCGGTAATGCCAGTATCCTAGAAGGTGGGGCAGAGATTGAGGCCAGGCTGGATTACAGTAGTGAGACTGTTTTACAAAGAACCCAGACAGCAACAACAAACAATAAGTGAAACCAAGTTTCTGCAGTATGAAGGGATTTATACTTCCAACAAAATCTAGTCAGAGCCGGGTGCTGGTGGCTCATGTACTCGAGAGGCTGAGGTCTGAGGATCATGATTCAAAACTAGCCCACACAGGAAGTCTGTGATACTCTTACCTCCAGAAAGCTGGCAGTGGAACTGTGGCTTAGTGGTAAAGCACTGTGTTGAGCTAAGAGAGCAGCAGGCCTGAGTCCACACCCCAGTATGGGTGCACACATAAAAACAGTGCAGTTGGCAGGGTGTCATGTGGCCTGTTCCTCAGACAGAATTGAATCATCATGTGGTTAATTACGCCTAGCCCTAACCAGAGATGCTGAACCTTCACAGCCAGGATTCTGCTCAAAGCAGACAGAACTCTTTCTTTGACATCCTTTTGGGTATGTGAGGCCTGGAGTCACTTGCTGGCAGGACTAGGTGGCCAGGCCAGCCATCCTCTGATGTACTTCAAGTGTATCCAGTTGGAACGCAAGAAGTTTCCCTTCATTTTAGTAGTAGATTGGCACTTTATCTTTTTTTTTTTTTAATGTACTTCATGTATGGTAGGCAAGCACTCTCACCGTTAAGCCACATTCCCAGCCTAGATTAATTGGCCTTTTAAAAAAAGTTATTAGCACCTAGCAATTGTCCAGATGCATGGGTCTTACTGTGGTATCTTCGATCCACTCTTTGTCCAGCCTTGGATTTGCTCCAGCTGAATGGAGGAGAAATAGGCTGGAAGTCTGAAACATCTCCACTTCTGGCACTTACAAGTCTGCAAACTGAAAAGACACCCTGACAGGGGGGGTAGGGTGCAGGGTAACTCATAATCTGCTTCTGTAAGATCTCTGTATATGTGCATGGATAGGAAGGAAATCTGGAAGGACTGACTTTAACCAATTTTCTTTTGCTAATAACATACCATACACTGATGAGTTTTAAAGAAAAGGCCTATTTTGACTTAGTTCTGGAGTCCCAAGGTCGGAGACCACATCGGTTGATGACCTTGATTGGATGATCCCCTAGGAGTGCCAGGGGTCCCGTGGCCAGAGGCCTTGTGCCCCCTTCTCTCACTATAAAGACCAGAAATCAGGTCTGGGTTGCACAAGATGACCTTAGGTAACCACCCTGAGGGCCACCTCTACCCACTGCACTTGGAACTCTTCATTCTTGGGATACCTCTCAAAGGCAGTTGGACTTGAACATGATTACTGTGTCCACAAAATCCAACAGCAGTTCAGGAAGGGGTGAAGAGGGGTGGGAGGTGGGAGTGTTGACTCACAGTCTGCACGTCTGGGGTGGTTTTACTTGTCACACTGAGCATGTTTTATGAAATTTGTAATTGAGAAATAAATTCCTGAATTAGTCTATTACTGTGTATATATGTTTTTCTAAAGAGACTGTCTTGTTTTGGTTATTACTTTTTCCATTGATTTTGGTCTTGTTAAAATGCAGTAGGGTTGTGTAAATAACTCTTTACAGGAAACATATCCAAGATTTAAACTGGCAGCGAAAGAACATGCAGCTCACAGCTGGATCTAAGCTGAGAGAGATGGAGTCCAAGTGAGTGTCTAACTCCACTGCACTGTTTCTCAGCACATGCCAAGATGTGGTTCAGTAAGGTTCAAGCAGAATTCCAATGGAATGCTGCATTTTCTGCCCTTCACTGTTTCTCATCTGTCCTTTTCTGAAGTGTGGGTGTAGAAACCAGCCAGAAGTTCTAAGAATGAAACCATTGCTAAGAGGAGCACTGGTTTAGGCCAGTGTTTTTGGCTTTTAGTAGAACCTTCCTATATTCTGATCTTTTTGTTTTGGTCAGTTCTTGGAATTGAACCCTGGGCCTTGAATATGCTCAGCAGGCACCATATCCTGCCCTATTTAAGAAATTTTTTTGGCAGTTTGTTTCATTGAGATATAATTTTACCATAAGACCTAAATTAAAGGATATAAACCTGTGGTGTTTGTTTTTTTTATACATTAACAATATTGTACAGCTATCACTGCTAATTTCAGAACCTTTTTTTAAAATTAAAAAAAATTGGTCTTATAAAGGTGATGTACAGAGGGGTTACAGTTATATAAGTGAAGAGTACATTTCTTTTTGGACAATATCACCCCTTCCCATGATCTTTCCCAGTTTTTCCCTCCCATCCCCATCCACTAGTTGTTCATTTTCAACAGTATCTAGCGAGTTCCATTGCTGAATTTGATCACCCTTTGTTTAAATTTTTGTTTTGTTTTTCAGCCTTGTAACAAAGGAAATTCCGTAACTTGAAACTTTTTTGCTTCACTTTTTCCCTTTCTATGTTTTGTTTTTGAGATGTTCTTCTGCGGATAGAATTTATGCAAATTCATAAATAAAATCTGTGTGTGGGGTATATAATCCCAGCACGTGCGAGGTTAAAGCAGGAGAATCACAAATTCTAGGACAGTCTGGGCTCCTTAGTGACACCTTGTCTTCAAACAAGATAATCACATCTGTAAATATAGTCATGAATTCTGGGGTCATTCCTCTTTCCTGTCTCCCCATTTTCTCTTCATTTCCTTATCTCCGTGTTGTGAGCCCGCCTGTCACGTCAGGAACCAAGGAGAAGGGAAGTGTCCATCATTTTTAGTAGATTACATCTGCCCAGTTTTCTGTTACTCCTGTATCACCTTCCATTACTTCCCTGTCACTTCTGTCTTACTGCTGCCACCACTACTTTTAGTTAACTTCGAGGCAATTGTAGACTTACATGCGCATGTAAGAAGTAATAACCTGTGTGCCTTTCATCTCCTCCACTGTGCCTTGTGTGTGTGTGTGTGCGCGTGTGTGCGCATGTGCGTGTGCGCACCCTTCACCCATCTCCTCCATATGCATCTTGCTTTTTAAGGGGAAAGGTAACAGTGCTGTGGCTCTTCAGTGAAACTGCATATGCATTTAAACTCTAGGAGAAATTTTACTTGGAGTAATTTTTCCTTTTTACAATGTTTTTCCTTTTCTAGTTGGGTATCTCTGGTCAGTAAGAATTATGAGATTGAACGGACTATTGTGCAACTGGAAAATGAAATCTATCAAATTAAGCAGCAGCATGGAGAGGCAAACAAAGAAAACATCCGGCAAGACTTCTGAAAAGGGCCTGGGGTGTGGCCCAGGTGGTAGAGCACCTGCTTAGCAAGTGTAAGGCCCTGAGTTCAAACCCCAGCACTATCACACACACACACACACACAGACTTGTGAAAAGGCTGATTTGGTGGGTAGAAAGGAAAAGCAGTTGGGCTTTCACATGTTGTCAGGCCCTGCTCTTTTTCTGACCTATAGAAATGGAGGGCTGCGGCTCTTGGGGCACTGGATCAGACTGTTCACAGACCACAAATGTTTGTGCCCCTGCAGTGATTGTATTTCTTAGTGAAATAAAGATTTTCAACCTGATAGCATTTTTATAGTTATAAAAATGTAGGCTTTCAAAATAAGGGACTAGAATAATTCTTATAATTAACTTTTAATGACTTGGACTGTGTTGTAGTCAGGGTCCTTAATTTATGGCTTCCAGAATATACAAGAAGCTGGCAACTTTTGATTTATGATTCTAATAAAGAAGTAATTCTGAACATTATTCATCACCAAGTATAATGGTTGATCTTGATTATCTCCATGACTGTTGAGACAGCTACAAAACTGGTACTGAGAAGTGGGACTTTGCTGTGTCCATACTGCCAATCCAGGTTTGTAGAAAAGGCTAGAGGAGGAGCTTTATGGACACTTCTGGCTAGGGCATGACTGTCCTGCCAACAGTAAAGCTCTTGCTCACGGGGTTTTAGATGGAAATAAGGACTACTGGAACTCCTCTTCACTGTGGCAAGGAGTTTGCCTTTTGGGTGGGGGGAGGGGTAAAGGTCTGTCATGGGCTTGAACTCAGGGTCTGGGTACCATCCCAGCGCTTTTGTGCTCAAGGCTAGAACTCTACCACTTTGTGCCACAACTCCACTTCTGGCTTTCTAGTGGTCAATTGGAGATAGGAGTCTTAGAGATTTTCCTGCTTGGACTGGCTTTGAACGGAACCTCAGATCTCAGTCTCCTAGGATTACAGGTGTGAGCCAGCAGCACCCAGCTTGCACTTGTTTTGTCCACGCCCTGATACTTTTTGGTGGCTAAATCTAAAGGTAACAGGTTAATCTGATGGAAGAAATGTCAAGGCAGTAGATCACTCAAGCTGTGACCTGAATATTACTGACTGCCTTTAGCCAGGTTTACCTTGAGAATCCTACTTTCCTTTAGGAAGAGAATCTTGATACATGCTGCTTGCCCTGCACCAGGAAATGAGCTCCCTGGAATTCCATTCCTCTGCTTGTGGCATTGTCTGTGGTTGGATGCCAGCTTAGGGGTCATGGGTACTCACCTGAAATTTCACAGGAGAGCCTGATGGAAAGCACCATGCTGAGTGAAACCTATGCTACCTGGTGACCAGAATTTGGGCCTGGGGATGGGTCTGAACAAAGCTGAAGGCCACAGCCGGATGCCGGTGGCTTTGTGAGCTGCCTCCAGCACAGCCATGGGGGCACCCCAGGCCTGGCTCTCATCTACTCACCCAGATGCTGCATGATTGAGCTGTAGGATTGGCTCTGGCACTGGAATGTGCCATTTTGGTGGGGTTCACACTGGGTTTGCATTGGGACTCATTCTGAATGCAAATGATAGTGTCTGCATTTCAAGATAAAACATAAGCCCTTGGGCCAGGAGCAGATGCTACAGTTAAAATCTTTTCTCTTTTGCTGGTCCTGGGGCTTGAACTTAGGTACTGAGTGCTGTCCCTGAGTCTCTGTGCTCATGACTACTGAATGCTCTACCACTTGAACCATAATACCACTTTGGGTTTTTCTATGTTTATTGGTGGTTAGAGTCTCTCAGACTTTCCTGCCCAGGCTGGCTTTGAATCACAATCCTCAGATCTCCACCCCAGCAAAATCTTTTATTTTTTTTTGGGGGGGGGAGGAGAGTGGTTAGTACCAGCTTTTGAATTCAGTTTCAGGCTTGCTTGGTGCTTTGCCACTTGAACCATGATTTCAGCCATGCTTTTTGCTGAATATCTTGAAGATGAAGTCTCACTTTTCCTTCCAAATTGTCCATCTGTAATCTATCAGATTAATCTTTTTTTTTTCTTTTGGCTGTAGCCTCAATCTTCAGAACCCCAAAGGCCCAGCAGTGAGTGTGTATGGTGTTACTGAGTGCCCCATCCCCATAGGAGGTGGGCCTGGTGTAAGGGGTGTCCTTGAGGAACATGTGGAACCTTCCTTTCAGGCCTCTGCCATATTCCCACCACCCTGCCTGCCTCAGCCCTGCGCCCAAAGCTACTGGGCACCAAGCACCAAACCTAGGAAATGCAGCCAAAATAAACTGTTCCAGACTGTCAGGTTCTGAGACTTGAACACTAGGGACCCACAGGCTGGAAACAAGCTGAACAGGTGAGCACCGGAGGAAGATGATCCTCACAGCACCTCTCCGGAAGTTGTAGGGAGTTGGGCAGCATTTCATAGCTAGGAAGTGTCGGCCTGGGGCCGGGGTTTTGGCTCAGCATGCCAGCGCTTGCCTGGGTACCATCTGCAGGACCACAAAAGCAGCAGCTGTCCAGTGGGTGCTTATTCCTCCACTTGAAGGAATTTAAAGTATAAATGACCAGGTGTCCGTGGCTCACACATGTCAATCTAGCTACTCAGAAGGCCTCAGCCTTCTATGATCTGAGGATCACAGTTCAAAGCCAGACTGGTTAGAAAAGATCATGATACTTAACCTCCAATTAACTATCCACTAAAAAAGCCTAAAGTGGGCTGGGCGCCAGTGGCTAAGGCTACTCAGGAGGATGAAATCTGAGGATTGTGGTTCAAAGCCAGCCCAGGCTAGATAGTCCATAAAACTCTTATCTCCAGTAAACCACCAGGAAACTGGAAGTGGTACTGTGGCTCAAGTGGTGTAGAGCACTTTCCTTGAGCTGAAGAGCTGAAGGACAGCGCCCAGGCCCAGAGTTCAAGTCCCACAACCGACCCAAAAAATAAAATTAGATGTTTTAATATTCCTTCCTCTATTTCCAGTGATTGAGTACTAAAGTTGCTCCATGGACAGCAAAGTAGACATACACGCATATCCAGTGGGCCCTAAATCCAATGTCTTTTTAGAACCCTTGAGAGTGGGTCACAGAGCATGTTAGGGCTACTGCAGAGCTCCACGTGGCAAGAGGCAAGCAGACACACCAGGGGCTTAAGGCAGCCAACCAGGGTAGGGAGAGCACGGCCTTGCTTGGACTGTGACTCCATAACTGACAGTTTACCACCATGGCTCAGGGCATTGGGCGTTCTGCTCCTGTTGCCCTTGAGGCTTGATGCAGGGCCATTGGAGAGTCACAGGTCTGCCTTTAGGATGGATTCTGAATGCATGGGCAGAGAGTGCTGGGACCTAAGTCAGAAATTCTGACTTGTGGAAAATATGACCAGCCCAGAAGAAAAATCAAGTTGTTGGAATTGGGGCTTTCCTAGCATGGTCACAGGGCAGTGCAACACAGCCAACCCCACCTGCGCGCACAGAGAGCTTCCAACAGATTCACCTCCACATAAGTAGTAACCACACAGAAGAGGAGTCGTGGACAGCCCAGTAAGTGTCTTATTTCAACAGACAACAAGGAAGATGGGGGGGGGGGGAAGGGAAGGGGAGAAGAAATCTCTTAATAGTTTTTAAGATTCACATCCTCAAGGCTTCTCAGTATCAACTCTGGACTCTAGAAGGAGACGAGTTTTCAGAGTTCATAAGCACATTTCTGACCTCAGACTGTACAATGCCAGATTTGCAAGGATAAAGGTATTTTGGTCACATGAGAGAGTTTGTTTTCCTTTCTGGCAGCTGTGGGGCTTGCCCTTGAACTGGACACTGTCCCTGAGTTTTATTGCTGGAGTCTAGCACTCTACCACTTTAAGCCACAGCACCACTTCCAGTTTTCTGGTGGCTGATTAGAGACAAGAGTCCTGTGGACTTTCCTGCCCCGACTGACTTCAAACCACCATCCTCATATCTCAGCCTCCCGAGGTATGCGCCACAACACCTAATGAGAGCTCACATTCCTTTTTCTGAGGATTTTGCTCCAGAACCACACCGCAAGATGTGTTCTCAGGGAAAAAGCAAAGGAATCTTCCAAGGAGATGGGTGAAGGGCTGCCATATTGGGATTGTATAGGAACTTGCAGGAGGCAGCCCATTTTGTTTTGTCTGTTGTGGGGCTTTAACTCAGCCTGGAAGCTGTCCCTGAGGGTTTTTTTTTTTGTTGTTGTTTTTGTTTGCTCTTGGCTAGCATTCTACCTCTTTGAGCCACAGCCCCACTTCTGCCTGGCAGTTACTGACTTTTATGGCTATTTCCTAGACCAAATCATGTCTTCTATCAGGAAAAATATCCCTACTCTCCACTACAGAAATTTTATCATTATAATAAGTCTGTTACATTTTTCTTCTAACAAAAACCAAATTCAGGTGCCTGTGATTCACACCTCTAATCCTAACTGCTCAGGTGGCTGAAATCTGAGGATCACGGTTCAAAGCCAGCCAGGGCAGGAAAGTCCGTGATACTCTTATCTCCAATAAACCACCAGTAAACCGTAAGTGGCAGTGTGGCTCAAGTGGTAGAATGCTCACTCTGAGCCAAAGAGCTCAGCGACCAGAGTTCAAGTCCCATGACCGACTTCCTCCCCCCCCCCAAAAAAAAAGAAAATGCAGAAAGATATGGGCTAACTGCTTCTCCTCTTGGCCCTACTCAGGAAAGAGGCCCTCTCTCAACTCAGGTTAGAACAGACACACTGTCATCTGCCCAGCTCTTCCCTCCAGTCTACTCAAGAACCCCTGCAGAACTCTGACCCCAAGAGCACAGATGAGATACTGGATGCAGGCCTGGCCAATCCCTGTACCCCAGGCCCTGGCCACATTTCTGAGTAAGAGAACTCGACCTGACTCCAGACCAGGCCAGTGAGAGTTGTTCCCTAGTATTCTAAATGGGTGTGTTTGCCTTCCTCACAGATTGTTAGCCTGTGGCCATGTATTTCTGGAATTGCCTCTGGCTGTGTGCAGAGAAAGCTTGTGTAGGTGGGAGGAGATAGGCAAAAACAAAAAAGGGGAAAGGAAAACATCTGAAAGTCTCCTCTGCAGCCAGTGCCGCCCCTGTCTTCACACACTCCTGATCCGTAAATCCCCAGTAATTCTTTGATGGCACTAGTTTTACTTAGGTGTCTCTGTGAACAGAGTTCTGACATACAAAACTAGAGAAATCAAAAAGGATGTACAGCGGCTCATACCTGTAATCTTTAATACTCAGGAGGCCTCAGATTTCAGCCACCTGAGCAGTTGGGATTAAAGGTGTGAGCCACCACCGCCTGGCTGAATTTGGTTTTTTTGTTAGAAGAAAAATGTAACAGACTTGTTATGATAAAATTTCTGTAGTGGAAAGTAGGGATATTTTTCCTGATAGAAGACATGATTTGGTCTAGAAAATAGCCATAAAAGTAACTGCCAGGCATCAGTGGCTCACACCTGTAATCCTAGCAGCTCAGGAGGCTGAGATCTGAAGCTCATGGTTCAAAGCCAGCCC